ACAAGTTGCAGATTTGCTTTTTATTGATGAAGATTTGAACAGCTGAACCTTTTAAATGTTATAAATGTATTGAATTCTAGGAGATATAAATCAGTGGTATGAATTTGAACTTAGCTACAATGCTGTAAGCCAACTTTTTTTCCTTATAACCTTTGCAAATTTTGTTTGCTAGGATTGGAAAATGACAAAGGACAAAATCTGCAGATGTAAACATCTGAATTATCCTGGCCTTTTGAAAGAAAAGATAAAATTGACCCCAAAAATGTAGAAGGAAACTGAAGATAAAATTGACCCCAAAACTGTAGAAGGAAATTGCTATGCAGAAGAATGATTTGTCAAAATTGGGAAAGACAAAAATAACTTTGGAAAGTTATATATTAATAGTATCTTTAACATTGAAAATCAGTTTGGGTGGGTGGGGTGTTCGGAAGCTTTCATACAGTGTTTTAGAAATAAACTTTTAAATTATAATACATATTAATGAAAATTTTCTTCTGCTTTACTCAAGGTCCACACCCAAGGAACTTATTACTACTTAAACTCTGGAAATACCTTTCGTTTCACAGGAAATGTTTTGTCATATTTTTTGATTTAACCACTCTTTCAGATCAAGTTACAAAAAATTTACCCAACACAGCCCGTAAGTTCAGTCTTGGTGGGGACAATCACGCCAAAACCAAACTGAGACACTCCCAGTCGTATTCTTTCGAGAACAAGGGTAATTTTATAAGCATGGGGATCAGCAGTCATAACTCAGTTCATATTAATTGTTTAATCAGGTGGTAAATCATCAAATACCCAGTCAAAACAAAAACTAAGATTTTATTTTCTGTCCGCTGCATGTTGGGGATTGAGAGGGTATAGGTCATTGGGTACAAGATTTGAGAAGTTATTGTTTGTTTTGTGTGTTGCAAGATATGACATGATTAATTCAGTTTACATGTATGGTTATATGTGTATAGTTTATTATGGAAATTATAAAGGAAATTTTAACAATTGTGTATATAGTAATCAGGGTTCAGATTTTGTTTGTGTCACCCTTGCATTGGTCTATAGAGAAAACAATCATGGATCTAAAAAGTTTTCAACTCAAATTTTTTTTTTTCTTGAAAAATCAACATAGTAAAAATAGAAAAGAATATTAAAACATGTACATGAGCAGAATTTATGATGTTGTTCATGTGCATGCTTTCTAGATTGTATATTAAAAAGTAGTAGAATTAGATCACCAAGAGAGGCAAACAAAATCTGAACCTTTACGCTAGTCATTAATATAAAACGGGTACATATTTTAAAGTGAATTTTCTTACTTAACCATGTTTACTATTAACCTTTTCCTCAACAATGGGACATTTAAAATTAGTTGTTTTAATAATTATCACTAACTGTATTGCTGGTCTGGGACCTACCAATCTAACACAGAACTGAAAAATTTGGTTTATGGTTCATAGCTTCCAGGTTTTATAATTTTTGACAATTTTCATGCAAAGAAAAACAACCTTCATCATTGACAAAATCAAAAGAACATGTATTAAATCTTAAATTAAGTGATTACAGATGTGTGTACATAGAAAAATCATTGTCTGTGGATATGTACATATTAGGTAAGGTTTGTTAAGCCATGTAACTGATGTTTGGGGGTAATAAACCTATTTTTAGTCAATTTGACCTGTAATGTGTCAATAACGGGGATAAAACCTCTCTCTCCGGCTATAAGGAGACCACAAACACTCAGGTGACTCTGCAGGTCACATGACAGGAAGCGGTTACCACAGGAACTTGATATTACTATAACTGCTCATACAGGCAGAAAATATAATGGGTTTTGTCTGATCATCTTCACACAATGGCCATGGTTAATTTTTTCCTGCTGTTTAGAAGAAAAAAAAAAAACGGGGATTTATTTTACCTTTGGTTAATCAGAAACAATATGAAGTAAACTTGCCACAAAGCATCCCTGTTAAGGCTATCTAAATTTAATTCTCTGGTTCTCAGGCCAATTTTCTCCAAAACAGATGCGGGAGGGCGGCATTTTATTTATCATTTTATTGGCAATAAAGTAGATGAGGGAGGTATTTTTTTAATTTTAATTTTCGAATTTTCTTTATCATAAAGATAATTTTTTTAATCACAGATATACCTTCCATTTCTGGTCAAAATTTCTGCTTTATCCATTGCTTAACAGCGTGTAAACATCTTAGGTAATGTCCTCGAATGTATTTTCAAACGAAGTAGCCAAAATCTCATTGCAAATAGCTACCAGAAATGATATTTGAATACTAAACTACGAAACAAATGAGGTCTGAATTTTTTTTTCCGGATTGGTCTCTGCAATACCAACTTTTTATTTTATTGAAAATACAATAAAATCGGTAATGCGGCTACCTCAAAACGGATGCGCGCGGGCCTGAGAACCAGGATTTCAATTTTATATGGCCTAAGGGTTTTTAAGTTTGTTTATTAAAGGGCCAAAACCTAGCTCTTTCAAGGGGAGATAATTACTAATTTAGTGAAAAATCAATGACAGCCAACTTTTAAAAATATCAGCAAAACCACAAAAAAAAAAAAAAAATGAGAGAAATGAAATCATCATTTAAAGTAGTTTAGATTCAAAATTGTTCATATTATGACCCCCCCCCCCCCCCCCCCCCCCAAGGGAGGTTGTGGTGGAAGGGAAGGAAGACTGCAGTGTTATATTTAAATCATTTCAAAAGTGAGTTTTGTGGCCAAGGGGGCTCTTGTTTGATAAACCTGAACTGAACTGAAATCATGAAATTTCAACATGATTTATAAATGTCTCTTGCATAACTATCATTAATTATTATGGGCAAAGCAAATACATGTACCAGGTATTTCATTTTTCACTTATTACTGACAATTATCTGTAAAAAACAGTACATCATCATCTTAATTGAATAATTTTGCTCGAAAAGCATATTATTTATCTGAGTTATTAAGAAGTAGAATATGAGGAAAATTTAATACAGAAATAAAAGCTATGTTAAGATAAGAAGGAAAGAAATGACTTGTGTGGTTAATTTCCTGGTGCAGTTTCCATGAATGTATTGAAATAGACTTGTATATAACACTGGATTATATAAAATATATGCATGTGCACTTCAAGGGCATATCCATAAAGGGAGGACAACATACAGTGAAATAAAAAAAAAAAACAAGATGAAAGAATGAATTTTGGGGGGTAAAAGGGAGGAGAGAAAAAGTTCAGCTCTAGTCATAATTTAAAAAAAAAAAAAGGTTAAGTCAGGTATTAAAATTTCTTTAGAGAGTTTTTTTTTTTTTGGAGGGGGGGGTACAAATTTCGAACATATCTATTCTCCAGATACCATACATACAGCACAATTTCATTATTCAACATTTCAAATATACAAAAATAAACACAGTCTTTAAGAAGCTATGGTGACCAAACAGAGAAAATTAAAAGTCCCCTTTTTTTGTTTCACAAACAAGCACACATACAACCAGTTACAGTATGAACATGTTCTTGGTAAAATTTGTACAGTGACATGTAATTGTACCATTCTGCAACAATTATGTTACAAAATTGTTTCGAAATTAACATTAATGGAGTATAATTGTTTAATTAATATCCTGTTAATATTCCTATCTGCTATTTTCAGGTGAATCCAGTAACTCTATGGGAGGCGGTGGTGCCCCAATGGGTTTAGGAGGATTATTCGCTGGTGGAATGCCAAAACTTAAGCCCACAAAAGGAGGAGTGAATATTCCACAGAGGACAAAGTTGTCTAATGGACCTGTGCCAAATGGACCCTCAAATATTGGTGGGGGACCACCCCCACCCCCTTCCATACAAAACAAACCTTCATTTAACGGACCTTCTGTGAGATCCAACTTCAGTAATGGACCCACAGGAAGGGGGGTAGGGGGCCCACCACCTCCACCCCCTTCACAAAATAAACCCACTCTGAATGGGGATTTGGTTGGTCGACCAGGCCCCCCTCCTCCCCCTCCCCAAACTAGCAAACCTGATTTAAGTGACAGTGTTTCAAGGCCTAGTGCAGGCCCGCCCCCTCCTCCCCCACAAACGAGTAAACCTGATTTTAGTGACATTCCTCGACCTGGGTCAGGACCCCCAAAACCTCCCCCACAGAATCGAAAACCTGGTCTTCCGGGACCACCACCAGCACCACCAAATTCTTTAAAACCTAGAGCAGATGATAGTGCACAAAATGGATTAAGTGGAGGAATGCCTCGAGGGGTGCCACCTCCCCCTCCCTCACGACCGCCACCTGGTGGAGGGAAATCTAGGCCATCTTCTGGCTCCCAGAGGTCATCACAGGTCAGACCTCCATCTGTGGGGCCACCTCCCCCACCACCCACACTGCCTAACAACAGACCACCCAGCATGGTGGGCAGGCCTCTTCCACCCCCACCCCCAGGTGTTGGCGGTTCTGCAGTAAGTTTCAGCTGTATTTTACTTTGATCAATCTGTGACATATTTTACATTCATGTTTCATACTTAAATATGTAAATGGTTCAATTTTTTAAAAACAACAAGCCATTAGTAGTGTTTTTGTGATAGGTGCTGACTATTGAAAAAATCATTGCTGAAGGCAGTGAGTCAGCCACAAATTGATAAAAAATTAAACTTTTGTTAGTAAATATTCATTTTTCCTTTACAAAATAGTTTATCTTCAAACACAATCAGCATGATCAGTGAACTTACTATTTTTCTTAATATGCATATGGCAAAAATCTTTCCATTTACACATGGTTAGGATTTGGTTGGAAGTTGATTCTGGGAACTTGTACATGTTGTATTACATTTTTTTTTTTTAAATTCATGTCTTGTGCAGAGAATACAAGACATGAATTGTCTTCAATTTCGTGAAATTTGTCTTGTAATCAGATTATTAATTTTGTTAACTTTAATTAGTGTATAGTTCATTCTATCAACTTTTAACATGATTAATTAAATTTTATGCTGTCTTATCGATGGGAAATTTGATCAGATTTTACAACACTACCAGATTGTCAAACAGCAATATGTACTAGGTGTAATTTACATTTGAGAATCTGATATAAGTTTTTTGTTTACCTATACATCTAAGGTTTTCATTTGTAACTTGAACTTGAATGCTGAAAATTGGCATTCCCATCTTTCTTATGAATCAATGTGCTCCAATTTTTCTGAACAACATGAACATGATGAAATGGGAACTACTGTATGTGCTGTATGGGAAAAAATTAGGCTTCATATTTTAGGGGTTATGGTGCAGTTAAAAATGTGCTGATTCATAGGAGTGAAACAGTTCACTGTGGTAATTTTTCTCGGTTTGATACACTGTCGGTACAAAATCTCGATTTGGTTTTTTTTCGGTCGTGATCATCATTTGGTCGGGTTTGGCATAAGGTATAAACATGCTCCTCTGTATAATTTGTACAAAAACATTAATTTTTGTGGACTGGTAGTTCATGTTATTGTAGTTTGTAAAATAATTTTTAACAGTCAAATTAATTAGATTTATTTCTTCTAACCATTTTGCACGTTCATTATTTGGTAGATTTAGTAAAAGGAAGCATAAAACAACTGTTGATTTTGTTTCCTTCTATCAAAATGTATTGTATCGAAAATAACCGAACCGAGACCAAATTTTACGATATGTATCAAACCATGTAGGAGGCATATCGTTTCACCCCCTACTGATTCATGAAAACATGAGAAATTAATTTGAAACATTTATAAATTCAATGTTTTTACACCATGGATGTGTGTAGCATTGATTTATGATTATTCCAATCGCTCAAGACATGTACCAGTGATTATCCTAAATTGATTGTACACATCAATTTATGTACAAACACAGTCTTTAGTTTTTACATACACTTCTCCAGGACAAAGATGAACAAAACTGTATATATATAGGAAATCAGCATCCTGTTACATGTGTATTGTAGATATACATGTAAGTTTTTTCTCTCCTAAGCCAGGACAAAAAGCAGTAATGGAGGTAGAAAATGTAGGGGAAATTTTTCTATATCTTTTCTACGTCTTTTAACCATACAATCAGGATTTTACATTGTCATATTGCTGTATAATTACATGTACTTGTTTGAGTAATGTTTCAAATTCATGTACAGTTGAACTTCAGTATCTCGAACACCGATATTTCGAATACCATGGATATGTCAAAGTGATTTTGAAGTCCCAACAGCTTATTCTCTGAGTATTTTACCCTAGATATCTCAAATCCCTGGATATCTCGAAGTTTTTTGATTCTGTCCCATGGAGTTTGAGATAATAAGGTTTTACTGTAATTCAGAATGTTTTGGTTTTTTACTACAAATTTGGATGGGATTTGAGTGGGAGGATCCAATTTTTTTCTGTCTCATTGAATATGATGAAGCTGTTCGTTTATTAAATGCTCGCTAATCGTGCTTGATCGCTAGTCAACAGTTATCCACTTTAAAGAGAAGCAAATTAAGTTGTGATATCATCTGTGTTTATCATTCAAATCTGTGTAATTATAGAAAACAGAATAAAGTTAGGTTACGTAGATCTAGTTTCTACAGATTTAATGAGACCCAAGGTCTTCAGTAATTGAAGTCTTTGACCATGTTGACAAAGATTATCATGATTATGAATCAACTTTCCTAATATAACATGAAAGAAGGATATATGGCCCATGTATTCAATTTTACAGTGATCTGAGCATAGGACAGAAGAGCCTCTTGATTCACTTTATATACATGTACATGTATACACACAGTTAATGATAAGGGGGTAATTGTACACTTAACATAGAGTCTCTGTCTTCCTTTTCAACATACTTAATAGGGGGAAATGTTTGTTGTTTAGTTAGATTTTGTTCCTCCTCATTAACTAGTGAAAAGGTGGTTATATGTCTATTGAAGTTTACATCAATTAAAAATATCAATTTATTAATAATAGATCTTCCTTAAAAGTCTGGATTATCTTAATTATGCAACAAGTCTGCCATGAAATGCATCTTAGAAATTAAAAAAAAATTCAATTTTAACTAAAATTTTGAACTTTAGTACACATATTTTAAAATAAATTGCACCATTTATTCTGGAATCCAGACCAAAATGAGTCTCAAAACAAAATGGGAATATTGGATGCAAGCACTCCTTTGATAATGAGAAAACCCAACAACTTATTTTTTAAGTATTTAACCATGGGTATCACAAAACATTGAGGATCTTTGAATTTTTCTCAGTCTTTTTGAGCTTACGTTACCATCATGGTTTGTCTGTAGTCTCATTGAGTTTTATCTGTACATGTAATTGTTGTATATTTTACCTTTGTATTATAAAATTGTTAAATAGATTTTTACGTTTTGTAGGTACCCCCTCCTCCCTCGTCGAGGCCACCTCCACTTCCCAGAAACAGTGGATCCAATCCACAGCTGGACCGCCCCTCCCAGCCCCCTCCCCCTCCCATGAGGACCACTTCCAGCACCCCTCATCTAGGAGCCTCACAGCAAAGTAGACGGCCGGGCGGCCCCCCACCCCCTCCTGCCAGGGGACCCAATGTTGGTGCTAGCATGCAGCCTCCCCCTCCCCCCGTCAGGCGGTCTTCGGGGAATTACTCGGGAGATAATGACGGTAAGGCTAGTAGATCACAAAAAATTTAACATATTTGTTGATGGGATAAGAGGAATAAAAAAAAAAATATATTGTATCCTGGACTGTAAAAAAAAGTTTTAAGTCGTACCATTTTTATTAGAGCCTAAAGGGCAACCAAACAATTTTTTAAAGGTGGCCTGAATAATTTTAGGGGAAAGATATGGTTTAAGTGCATCAGTAAACTGTCTTCAGAAAAAAAACTCTTTGTACGTAATTCATCTTCAAGATAATTGCTCTGTTTGTTTCCTTTATGAAATTTGCAGCTTTGAAGATGTGGTTGATGTTTTGTAGATTTTGATAACAGATTCCGGTTTCATAATGGAAATGAGTTACCTCCTCCTGAACCATATATGGGCTCAAACAAAAGCTATCCTAGCAAAAATCCTAGAAATCAAGGTAAGTACAGTGTGTGACAAAAATGATATCAAACCGAAATTTTCACTTCAAGAAAAGTTCAAGCCCCATAGACAAGAGGGGCAGATTGTGGGTGATACAATTCTGTATTGGAAGAAGAATGCCGGAGCCCTGTAACTGTTCAGTCTTTTGTCATCAGAAACTTAACTCTTTGACTTTCTTTTATATTTTTTTTCATAGCTTTGAGTGTCTATATGGTGTAGTGGTGAGGAAAAATAAACTATATCCTGTTGTATAAAATGAGAGTGTATATAAGACTTGAAATATTTTAACTGTGTATAAATCTCAACCTCAATGGATTCATCAAAATCTGTCATGAATTTGACTCTTTATATGAAGATGCCTTTGTTTCTTTGTATTGATTATAAAGAGTCACATCTCTTGAAGTGGTTATGTAAATTCTATTCTATCTTCATGTATTTCTCCTCTTTAGTCCTTAGCAAAGTGAACAAAACTGTAAGAGTTTGCTGTGAGAAATTCTTAAGGATGTGATTTTCAGTAAAATGGCATTCAAAACCTTGCATTCTTTTCACACAATTGGTTGTATTAAAAAAAATTAACTAATCAGATATTTCACAATAATATATTGCAAATTTTTGGAGGAAGACATAGTTTTGTAATTAAGTTAGAAAGGCTACGAGACTGTACAAGTGAACAATAAAAAATATGCCTGTAAATTGTTTATACATATTGAAAGATATATATAATTATGTACTTTCTTATTCTGTGGATCCTGCACATCTCATGATCTGTTCATTTTCCACCTTTTGTATTCGAAATCCTTATGTTCAAAATACATGTGTATTTATATGTAGTACCGGTATGTGTACACATATGTATGTATCATTTCCATAATTTGTTGAACTGTTTTCTATAGTTCTATAGTATTTTTTGTCACTTCATACATGATAAAAATAAATTAAAATCGTATTTATTTCATGCATTTAAATAATTGCAAGAAAGATAACTCTTGTTTAATGCATGTACACATGTTTTTCTATACAATTCCCTTTATTTCTACAATTATGTGATTATGATTTTGTATCACAATATTACTTATTTCTCAAAAGCACTTAACTGTTAAAGAATTCATTATTTTAAATTCATTATTTCTTTTTTATCTCAGAAAATCTTGCAAAAATAAATGTTACGACATCCACTTCTAAAAATTATTTCATCCTCTTTAAAAATTTTCTTTTCGCTACTTTAGAAAAATTGTTAAAAAATGTTAAAAGTTCAGAATTTTACGCCAAGTCAGTTTGAAATGATCGCCTTTGGTGACTTCTGAAAAAGAAATTTATAAGCGAAAAAAAATTTTTAGGCAACATGACTACTAAAATACCAGTGGTAGCCAGTTAGAGCCCTGTAAAGTTTTCGATTATTTGGAGACATAATTTTCTAAACTTCAATCAAGCTACAAGGATACAATGAGGTTTTAAACATTTATCTAGCAATGCTAATCCGCATGTATTTTTAAATAAGTAAACAAGTCATAGGGCATCAGTGTTTGTGATTACTTTTTAAAATATAAAAAAAATGTTGCCTCGTTGTTGAATTGTCGACTCAGGTAAAGTTATTTGCATGGAGGAGTCGTTTGATCTTTCTGTTCTTTTAAGCAATTGAATGTATATTCTACCTGCCTCTCTTTACTTTGGTTTTGAAATGCAGTACTTGTATTTTAGTAAAATTTTCCATAAGAGACATCTTTAACAAAGTTTATTATGAATATGTTGAAAACGAATTTAAAATATTTAAATGAAATAAGAAAATGTACAGGAGTTTTTAATGTCATCATGTTGTCTTTGTAGCTAATCAAAGAGCCCCACCACCCCCGCCTCCAAAATAATAGGATCCACCCAGCAACTGCTTTTATCCAGTCACAGTAGAGCTCTCCAATGTGTGCTGTTGATAGACTTTCATGCAGGAAAAGGGAGGGACTGAAAACAATCTGTTGATCAGATTGACAGCAAGAGACCACACCCACTGGTCATTATAATCATGGAACAATATGCACCTTTTCTGTCAATCAGTTCGATTGACAGATGGATATATTTCTCTTTTTTATCATAATTCCTGTTGATCTAAAGGACAATATCAGGAATTTTCTCAGTCTTTCAGCCGTTTTACATGCTTCTTTGTCTTTCTGTATTGAAAAAGAGACATGAAGCAAGCATCTGAGAATTTACAGGTTTTAGTCTATCCTGGACGTGAATGTATAATTTGTATCCAAGTTGACAAATAGCATAAGAGCTGCCTAATGTATGAATTTCTTTCTCTCTAACAGATCTTTTTTGTGTAGATTTCGCAAAATATTTGTACCAGAATTTCTTAATGTATGCGCACTTGTTAATTTTACAATATGTTGAGAAATAATTATATGGAATCAAAAGTTTAGTTTTTATATTGAAGTGTATGCTTAAGAATCTTTGTTAGATTTTTTTGTGTGAATTTTGAAAATTTGTTTTGTCTCTTATCAGCTGGTACCATGACGTTATTTTTTTTTTTTAAATAACATTTCCGACCTGTATCAGTTGACTGCATTCAATGAGGAGAAAATTTCACTAATAAACAACTGATGCGTTAAGCTTCAGTTGTAATTCTTTTAATTGAACATCTAGCATCATTTAATTTTTAATCCCAATTTTTGATGAATATTACATACTAAAAGATTTTGATTTCAACCAGACCTTCTTAAAAAGAAATGTCTTCTTGCCCTCTTCCTACTCTGAAAAAAAGAATTGGGTAGTTGGGGGGGGGGGGGGGGGGGGGGTTTACACTTGCATATACAAATTTAAAGCAATATGAGCTGCAACTTTGATGTCGAATTTTTTTGTTGCAAAATTGTGAATAACTATTTCAATGACAGAAAAAAATAACTTTAATAAACTTCTGCTGTTCATATTTGCGATGGAAGAACTATTTATAAGCTTCGATTGAATCAAAATTACATTATTGTCGTCCTGTACAATAAAGATTTCTTATATAAAACTGTATTTTGGATTGTATATAGAAGTATTTCTTCTGCTTAATTTTTGTCTAATTGATCTTAAAGGTTTAAGTTAAATACAAGTTTATCATGATAACGCATTTTAACACCAAAATAGAATTTTCAAAAATGCAGCTCATATTGCTGTAAAATAACTAATTGAATGAAAAACTTTGGAATTTAAAAAATAAAAAATTGCTTACTGGAGGTTAGAAAAAAAAGGTTTCGAGTCGGGCTGTTTTAGTAAACAAATATTTTTTTTCAAAGATGGCCTGAAAATGGGTTACAGTGGCCAGACATCACTTTTAATCAACACAAGTATTCAGTTCAGATTTTGCTTTTCCTTCATTTATTCTGATCACATTTTCCTCTTCTTCATGTATATGATATGAACTTGATGTATTCTTGTCTCTGCATTCCATTATGTGTATGCATGCTTTGTGATGGTAACTGTGTTTTTTAATCCGTGTAAAAGTGCTATTTATCCCCCTTTGGGTTTTTTTCCCTACCCGAAGAGTTCAGAAAACAGCAAGAATGGCAATATTAATTTAAACCTTTCCTTCCTGAAGTTTACATCAAGAAAGTTATATCAAGATTGTTGTTAACAGGTTTTCCACACTAAATTATAGTCGCATAACATTTATTTTTTTATATTGAAGTAAATTGTTTTTATTATCAAATATATTGGACTATACATCAGCACAATGGATATCAGAGATTGTTAAACAAATACATGTAAACTGATTATTTAGCGATGAACAATGAATTAAAATAATTAAGATTGATCAGAAGTTGAACATGCATATGTATATTGCAGTCTGGTTTATAATTAATGTCTGGGGTAAAGAAGTTTCTAATGAACAAAAAAATCAAGGATTACATATGAATCTTTAAAAATTGGAGTCATAATTATGGGTATATTTAAAATATTGTATATATATTGTATGACAGATCCTAAAAAGACATATAATATTTATTATATATTAAAAAGCAAACATGATGCTATTTGAATAATACAGTTATTTATCTAATGTGTGTGGGGTTTTTTTTGTATTTCTCGGATATGTTAGGAATAAAGGTGAACTAGAAGCCATAACTCCATGAAACTAGGTGATCACAGGTTCTGATCACCCCCCCCCCCCCACCCAATTTTTAAGGATGTCGTATACATTTATTCAGAATGTCTCATTGCATTCAAGGAGGATTGAGCAGTCTTTTGTGTTGCATATTACACAAAGGCCTTGAGTAAAAGAATTTAAAAGTTTGATAAACAACAGTCATTGCTTAACCAGTCTGAAACCTTTCTATATAATATACCTTTCCTTCAATTTTTTCTTTTAAATCCCAAAGACCAAGAGGAATAATAGAAAATTTTTCTAACTTTGTCATTGAAGTGTTGCTACTTAACACATGTTTACTCAAAAAAAATTTGTCCACCATATTCAGGCATTTCTGCAAGATCCAGTGGTAGTTTATATATAGAGCAGCTCCTTTAGTCACTGTTCAGTGTAATCGTCACCAGTGCAGACGGATGTATGCAAAACAGCACTCGGTAGCAACAAAAAATAAAAAAAAGATACCAAAGACACAGTTTCACAGGTCAGTGCAGTATACAAACACAATTGATATGATTGTGTAACTGCAAAAAAATGTAAACAAAGATATGCAAGATAACCAACAGGAACATAATAAAGCAGTCAGTTGTAACAAACGCGAAGAGTTACCCTGCGGTGCTGTCATCATAGATAGTTATATAAAAAATAGTGTGCCTATTTACAAGTGGTGTTCAGCTTTAACCTCTTCAAATGCATACATATTACTAGTATTTTCTGAATAATTAGTGAACTCTCCTATAGCAGAGTAATTCCCTTGCCCCTTTAAGTTACTGTGGTTTCATCAATACTTGTTGAGCACCAATTTTCGAGGATTTTGTTGTTGAGCAGATCGAGGAATTCAAATGTTCATTGAATTAAGAAATGACTTTCATTTGTATAGGCAATGCTTTTTTCCACAAAATTACATATCCTCGAAAAGTGATGCCAACGAAAATTGATGAAACCGCAGTACCTTTTCTGCCCTCATTTATAAAAGATTTTTTAAGGAGGGAAGTCCTTGGAATTTGATTGATTGATTGCTTTGTTGTTTTACACCCCATTGGAGAATTTTTTCATTTGAGAAGTCATCATATACCAGTGAAGGCTTCAATTTGACACTCTTACTCTGGAGATGCAGGTGATTAGAGTATATTTCTACATCTGATTCAACAGTTGAAGTTGACACTTTAAAAAAGTTCATGTTTATCTAAAAGTTAAGTTTTTTGTTTGCAATCCATGTGTAAAATATCCAAGTATGAAACAGATGTTAGACTCAGAAGTGTTGTGTCTTATATTTAGGTTCAATGGGATATATCGAAACAGGAATAAATATCATAAAAGCTTACACCTCTGCTTCCAAACCGTATTGTTTCAATGATCTTTTGAGCTTAATTAAGGTGAGTTATCTATGTATTACTGTAGATTCCTTATTTTTCGTGAGTACTTATTATCATGAAAGGCCTCTTCAACGTCAAATCATGAGAATAATAATTCGCGAATGGACGGTTCATCAAGAGATTTTACATTGTTTTTAGCAACATAAAAGTAAAAGCAAATAATTTTATTTCGCAACTGATGCTCCTCATGAAATTACGCGATAATTAATTCCATGTGTATATTTAGGAATTTACAGTAATTCATCACTCAATATTTACATTTCCAATGTCTTTGTCCGAGATAAAAAAATTGTAAATGTAATTTATTTAAAACTTGAATGTTTTGGCGCGGTTCCAAAAAAAAACCACGTGCAGGGCGGGACAACACCTAGAGAGAAAGGCTTGGAGTCCGTGGATTGGCGGAATATCAAAGCATGTAAATATAAGGAAAGCTTACATTTTTCTGCTTCCAAACCGTATTGTTTCAATGATCTTGTGTGAGCTTAATTAAACGCCTTCGGCGTTTATGCAAATTATCACACAAGAATCCATTATTTTTCATGAATTCGAAAAATCATGAAAGGCCTATTCAACGTAATATGTAGAATAATAATTCGCGTCATGCTTTGATAAGGGATGCCTCCATGTTAACAGTTTAGCAAACTTTTCCAAAAGGGGCTGGGGTATGGAGTTGCTGAAGCAAATAATTTTATTTCGCATCTGATGCTCCTCACGAAATTACGCGATAATTAATTCCACGCGTATATTTAGGAATTTACAGTAATTCATCACTCAGTAGTATGAACAGTAAATGTCAAGCTTTGATAAGGGATGCCTCCATGTGAACAGTAACTTGCAAACTTTTTCAAAGGGGGTGGGGTGCGACAGAGTTGCTTAGCTATTTTTATATTGTTAATTTTAAAGCTGAGTACAACCAGGCTGAAGCTAGCAGCCAATAACAGCAGCCATTAAGCGCGTAGAAGCTAGCAGCCAATAAGGAAATTCATCAAAGAACTGAGAGTACTCAGACGCAGTACTGTTTTTAATAGGTTATTTTAGATAATTAATGATAATGATTATAAAATTAATGCAACAATTAATTACATAATAAATCAGATACTCAGAGGCAGTAAGGCTCACCTGAACAATTTTTTTTCTTTTTTAAAACCGAAAAATAAGAAATACATTACTTTATAATTTTTATCCAATTGAACAAACAAGCACTAGGAAATGGTTTACGCCTTCAGGAAGAATCCCTTTTCAGCTCCCTCAGGGACCTCAAGATAATGACAGGGCCAATAAGCTAACCTGAAATTTGATTAATATATAACGATTGTAAACAGAAAAATACCACATGTGTAAACTAGGTT